AGGACACTGTCAGTAAGAGTAGGGGTGTCCTGACTGCTGGTCAGTCCAGATCCCAGGACACTGTCAGTAAGAGTAGGGGTGTCCTGACTGCTGGTCAGTACAGATCCCAAGGACACTCTCACTAAGAGAGGAGTATTAACTCCAGTACCCTGACTACTGGTCAGGAGAGATCCCAGGATAGTATGAGTAAGAGTAGGGGTGAAAGTAAGTACATAGCTGCAGGTAACTATTGTTGGGTTTCACCTCCCAAGGACCCTGCTGAAAAGTCAGTCAGTTTTGTATAAGAAAATGCCTGAACCAGGGGAAGACTGACACTACCTGCTTCCTATCATCAGACCAGTATAGTCTAATTGAGCTCAGACACAGAGATCAGCACTGTATGTGGGACACCTGCTGTGCTTTGTGTTATCAGAGCTCAGATACACAAATAAGGACTCCAGTTGGGACACCTGCTGTGCTTTGTGTTATCAGAGCTCAGATACACAGATCAGGACTCAAGTTGGGACACTTGCTGTGGTTTAGAGTTATAGATACTCACTGTTCAAGGCAGTGCGCTGCGGTGAGAACCCAGCGATCGTTGATCAGTGAGCCACCACATAGACTATGATGTCCATCGAGTGTTGCTGCCAAAAGCAAAGCCATCCAGGGCCACTGTCCTTCCTTCGCATCCTCACCACCCACTATAGAGCTCCTGGACAGAGGAGAGCTGGACACTGGAGAGAGACAGAGGGGTTCATACAGACACACTGACCGGACACTCCAATATATTAACACTGCACTGAGAGAGAGGGGTTAATACAGACACACTGACTGGACACTCCAATATATTAACACTGTACTGAGAGAGAGGGGTTAATACAGACACACTGACCGGACACTCCAATATATTAACACTGCACTGAGAGAGAGGGGTTAATACAGACACACTGACTGGACACTCCAGTACGTTGAAAGTCAAATATTTTCTGTGGCTCAAGAAACAGAAAAAAGTATTGGTATCTTTCCGCCCAGACTCACAACTTGTCAAAGGCCAAGGAAGTCTGAAGATGGAAGGAGACACCACAGATGTGGAAAGGATCTTTTTACTCTGAAAACTTGTTTGGCGCACACGGAGCACTGACCTTCCTAACTACTGCTGGACACAGAGGACTTACCCTCCTAACTACTGCTGGACACAGAACACTGACCCTCCTCAACTACTGCTGGACACAGAGCACTGACCCTCCTCAACTACTGCTGGACACAGAGAATTTACCCTCTCCAACTACTGCTGGACATTCATCTCTTACCTTCAATCATGTTCAGGATCAGAATCCCAAGCAAAAGCTGCAGGAAAAGCATCTTCGTCTTCTCAGTGGACTCAGGGAACTGAACTCTCTGACAGCTGCTTAACGCAGGACTCAGAGCACTCTGCTCCTTGTGTGCTGTGAGTGTCTGGAGACCCTGGATTTTATATAGCACATATATGCTGACTCTGGTCACCACTTCCCCTGACAAACGAGTCCTTCCTGAGACCGAGACTCTCGCGTTAGGTGGCAGGAACTGAGAGCCATATCTCAGCTGGACCTGACTTATCTGTGCTCAATGTCTGTACTCCAAAAGAGCTGACAGGGCTTAATGATATCTAACGGTATCTGATGACATGGTAAAAATGGTAAAAATGCTGACAGACCAAGATGGTATCCACCCTTGAAAGAGCTGCAGAATCAGGGTGGGGAACCTTTCCTCCACTCATACTCACAGAAGATATAGACCCTCTGTGCAATAACACTGCTTCTCTGTTGCTTTGATGAACAGAGACTGAGCTCAGCTTCAGAGCCAGAAGAACATAGACTGACCAGGAGTGAAAACGTTTCATGGCTCCAGTTCAGAAACGTTTGTGTGTCCAAAGCATTGTGGACTGCTCATTCTGAACCTGGTGAGTCACCATAAATAAAGGCATGGAAGACAGGGAGGTGATGATGATAGTAGTTATTGAGATGATGTTGATGTTAGTGATGGTGATGGTGATGCTGGTTATGGTGATGATGATAGTGATGGTGCTGATAGTGATCACTGTCGTGGTGGTGATGGCTCAGTTTCTCGTCAAGGCTCACAGTAACTGTTTGGTTCCAGACTGAAGAGCTACGCTCCATTATAGAGAAGAATATGATGATGATGGTAGATGGTAGATTGAAGACATGGAGATGATAAAAATGATAGAGAGACTCAGTCATCCCTGAATCAGGTCTCTCTCAGTAATGAAGAATGCTGCTGTTCTTTTTTAATTCAGATGCACATTCTTTTGTTTTGTACCCTTGAGTTATGTTCTGAGATGGGAAGAGGGGTGGAAAGACAACTCTTCTATTATCACTTTAGTTAATTGTATTAATGAAGTAAAGACTTGGATGTGTGAAACCTTTTGGTTACTTAACTCTGATAAAACTGAGGTTCTGTTGTTTGGAGGCAACAATATTGATAGAACTACTATAACTTCAGCACTTAACTCAGAGGATTTACAAATCAGCCTAAAAGACTCAGCACGTAACCTGGCATTGTATTTTACACAAGGTTCTCATTTAACTCTGATGTTAATACAGTGTCAAAAACATGCTGTCACGGACGTCCAAAGGGACTAACCGTGGGGAGCAGGAGAGCGGAAAAAGACCCATATGCGTAGCGGCGAGACGGGAAAAAGGCCCGGGCTCATTAGTGCAAAGAGTTCAGGAATGCCGTATAGAAACCTATGCCCTCAGGGAGCGGACGTGGGGTGCCCTGGTGCTAGGCGGGTCTCAGGACATCCAAACGTCAATGCTGAGCAAGGACAGAGTGCAAGACCCGGAAATATATAGCCCAAGGGAAAGAGAGGGACCGGAAGGACAGCAGACCGGAAACTAGGGACAGGACAGAGAAGGAGAGCCCTCTGACTGCAGAGGGTGTGACACATGCTTCCTACAGTTAAGAAATATTGCAAAACTAAGGCAGTTTCTCTCCACTCAAGACACAGAGAAGTTAATACATGCTCTTGTATACAGCAGGTTAGACTACTGCAATGCCGTTCTAGCAGTGAGCACCCACCACTCTTTCAACACCTTACAGTGAATTCAGAATGCAGCAGCTAGAATTGTTACTAGGAGCAGAAAGTACGACCATATAACCCCCATACTTAGCTCTCTTCGTTGGCTTCCTGTTAGGTACAGGGCGGACTTCAAAATCCTTCTACTTAGTCTCTCAGAGGTCAGCCACCTGTTTATCTCATGGAACTTATTAATTTTTACCATCCAAGTCGCCTGCTTAGATCACAGAATGCAGATCTTCTTCATATTCCATGCATTAATAAAAAAAACAGTTGGTGGTAAAGCCTTTAGTTACAGGGCCCCTAGCTTATGGAACAGTCTCCCACCCCATGTTTGGGATACCGAGTCAATCTCAGTATTCAGACCAATACTTCAGCCTAGCCTACTCACACCTTCCATTATAGCCTGCTGCCACCATGGCTGCTGGTGCTGCTTTACATGCCATTGTGTGTCTCTGTGTTGGCCCACCAGGTAGATACATCTGTTCTGACCAGACTATCCTATTCTCCTCCCCACCTGTCCGGATGGCGCCCAGGCTGGGCACCATCTGAGTTGGATGCTGCATCACTGCCATGGATCCAAGAAGTACATTGTGGACATCGCTATCGTTTAGGAGGATTTTGCTGGTCGACAGAGATCTGCATGGAGTACTGACACACAGAAGACATGATGGCTGGATTGATACCCTCATTCATTTCTTTCCTTCTTTTTAAATTCTATAATCTTAGCATGCCCAAAGGGGTTGGGCAGCCAGTTGACCTTGGACCCCTAGAGGATTTTTTCTCCTTATGAAGGAGTTTTTGGTTCCTCTCCTCTGTTGTCTTCTGGTCTTTTTTGTTCTGTATTCACAACATGTAGGGTCACTTGCATTGTTAAGCGCCTTGGAGCAACCTTGTTGTGAAAGGTGCTATATACAAATAAATTGAATTGAATTGAATTGAATTAAATTGACAGGAGACACAGGGAGAGAGAGAGGAGATTGCAGAGACTCCCTCAGTAATAAACACACACAACAGGACAGGAAAACACAGTGAGAGGGATGATAAAGGTGGAGAAGAAGAGGTGGAGGGAGGAAGCAGGAGGAATATGGAGACAGAGGGAATGACCAAGGGGTAACCAGCAGGGCTCCCCAGTCCCTATCCTCATGTAAACTGGTGATTTAAAGCCATCCAGTAGAAGCTGAGGCTGCTCTGAGTCAGACAGCCAGCAGGGGGTGCTGGATCCTAACATACTAGACTCCAGATTTGTCTTTATCCAGGCTCTGTAACTGGAGACTCCAGGGTGCTAACTGCGAGCACAGACCTGTCCGTACCTGAAGCTCACAATCCCAGCCTGCACCCAGCTGCTGTCCTGTTTACAGACCAGCAGTCCTCCGGACTCACCCTGGGGAGACAGACACTGACAGACTCATGACACTGACAGTAACTGGCCCAGTTCAGCCCTGAGAGCCCCAGTCCTTCAGTGCTCTAGTGTCTTCAGTCAGGGGTTAAAGGTCAATGTGAATCTGGACTCATGAAGACAGTAACTGGCCCAGTTCAGCCCTGAGAGCCCCAGTCCTTCGGTGCTCTGGTGTCTTCAGTCAGGGGTTAAAGGTCACTGTGAATCTGGACACATGACAGTAACTGGCTCAGTTCAGCCCCCGAGAACCCCAGTCCTTCAGTGGAGAATCAAGAAAAGCACTATATAAGTGTGAGGAATTATTATTTATTAATAACTCAGATACAGTTTGAAACACAGAAGACAGTCACTCACTCGTCACAGCAGTGTGCTGCTGTGAGAACCCAGCGATTGCTGATCAGGGAGCCTCCACAATCAGTCACGTCTAAAAGCTTCCCCTTCAGAGGACTGATCTTGAGATAAGCCCTCCAGGGCCCTTCTCCTTCCTTCGCATCCTGTCTTCCTGCAATCCAGGACAGGCTAGAGCTGGACACTGTAGAGAGATATTAATAAAGTCACAGTAATCTGCCATTAAGGTAATGGGATAGTTTGTAATTATTATAGGTGCTTTGTGATCCAGGCTTTAATTACAGTCATTTTCCAGCTCTCCTCTCTTGAGGAAAACAGGAGGTTCCCCTGTCTGTGCTGCCAAGGTGGACCATGCTGTGATGTAAAATAATGTATGAATCATTTTGAGACTGTAGTGTGCTCTCACGAAGCACCAGTTCTGTAGGGTTTGGGCATTTACTGGGACAATTATTAATTGTAGCAGTAAATCACAAAATTGATTCTTTTAATGGCCTTAAAATCCAACCATGCGGTATAACTCAAACAACGCACACACACAGGTACTAATAAACGAGGATACATTTATTAATACATAGAATATGCCTGTAAACCTAACAGATCTTATCAAGAGGGTTATCAGAATACAAAAGGTATATATTCAATCAGTTACGAAGAGTTACACATATCAAGAGAACATACGTTCAGTATATCATTCATTTAGACCGTTTCGTAAATGAACTTGGTTATAACTTCTACATTGGATGCTCAAAACAAGTACATAACTCTTAGGAATTAAATTGATATCAACTGGTTGGGATAACAATTTAATTCTCGAGCTGTAATGCATTGAAGTTGAATA